AGTAGGGACTAACACAGCATTATGAATTAACATACGTGCCTTTTTGACACATTCTGATTCTTCATAATAGAGTGTAGTGCCTCATTCACTCTATTCCCTGCTATTCCCATATATACATTATGTTATTCAATGTATTCCCATATATACTTTGTGTTGTTGATGCAATGAATGCAGTGAATGCAAGACTAATGAAAAAGAAAAACTCAGAAACAACTAAAGAATGTTTTGAAAGTATATTTACTGAAAGTACTTTTACACCTACTCACATACAATCTGCTAAAGGTACAGAATTTGTTTCAAAAGATGTAAAAAATACTTTAAATCCAAAAAGATTAATTACTATACCACTAACAATCCTGACATTAAGGCCAGTATTGTTGAACGATATCAAAGAACACTAAAAATGAAAATGTGGCGTTATTTCACTCATAATAATACTTAGATATTATAGATATATAGATATTATAGATTATAGATATATAGATGTTTTACGAGATTTAATATACTTTTATAATCACAGCTTTCACTCTAGTATTAAGATGTGCCCATGTGATGTAAATTCCGACAATATTATGGCAGTTTGGACTAATCTTTATGATAGACGGTCAAATAAACTTTCTTTAGAAAATCCTAAACCAAATTTCAATGTGGGTGATTATGTTCGAATAACTAAATATAAACATGTTTTCCAAAAAGGATATGAATCAAATTGGAGTGATGAAATATTTATTATATCTTCAATAATTGATAGATCTCCATGGGTTGTTTATACAATAACAGATTTACAAAATGAACCAATAGTTGGTACTTTTTATGAAAGGGAATTACAGAAAATCACTTACAACCCCACCTCACAATATAAAATAGATGAAATAATTGACACTCGTTACTCAGGTAACAGAAAAAAAGTATTAGTGAAGTGGAAAGGTTATCCAGATAAATTTAACAGTTGGATTTTAGCTTCTAGTTTAAAAGAAATATGAATAAAGAAAGTTTTTATTTAACTTTGCTCAGCAATAGTTCAATGGAATGCTTTCCTGATAACAAGACCACAAATATTTCAACGAAATTACCAAAAGCTATTAAATTAGAAGGTGAATGGTCGGTTGGAGTTGTCGAGTTTCAATATCCATGTACCATGTTTACTGTTCAAGATCATGAAAATGTTATATACATTACAAAATCTATGTTATTGCCTAATGAAGATAAACCATCCACAGTGTACTACAAAAAACATATTCCAGCTACCAACTATGATAACGTTGAGCATATTTTAAGAGTGTTAAATGGTATCGGAGAGAACTTGAAATTTCGGTATGATGAAATAACAAAATTTGTGTCTTTCTCTGTTTTGGATAAAAATATAACATCCGTAAAATTATCACCCAATTTAGGTTAACAACTAGGTTATGAACCAAATAAATATCTCCTATGGTTCATAAAAGATAGCTTGATCTCTGCAACAGCTGTCAGTAAAATCACGGCTATGAAGTCCTGAATTTCTTAGTAGTACAGACAGTACCTGTCAATGTCATACTTTATGGGCATGCCGACCTAATTAGTGCACATTTATGGTGCAAATAAAATGCACGTTTTCTCTCAACATCACTACTTACCTGTTATGCGAAAAGAGTTCGATACGCTGGAAATAGTTATAAGATCGAGCACAGGACAAAAATACCATTCCAGCTTGGAACCGTGTGTATTAAACTACATTTCCGAAAATTATAATAATGAATTCTCTTCGTGATCATCATAAATGTCCCTATGAAAATTATTATACACATCAAGCTGGGTCAGGAGTTAAAGTAATTTATAAGGGTTCACCATACCAACGCGGTCATGGTATTGGGAGCTTCTTAGGGAAATTATTTAGATCAGTTTTACCTTTACTTTCAAGTGGTGCTCGAGTGATTGGTAAGAAGGCATTAAGCGCTGGAGTAGGACTTTTATCGGATATGGTTCAAGCGCGTCCTATGGAAACCTCAATAAAAGATCGTCTAAAGCAAGTTAGTTCGAATTTAAAACGAAAGGCTGTTGAGAAAATTGATCAATTTAACATGACAGGATCTGAGTCTAAAAGGAAACGGGATCTAAAAGAAAACGATTATTAAAAGACAGGAATTTATTAGTGAAAGTAAGGAAATAGAAATGATTGGTCATCTTCACGGTGACATTTTCAACCAAGATAAATTTTTAATTAATAGTGTTAAAATGAGTGTTAAATTGGTTCGATCAAGAGAGAGTTTTAATTTAATTGCTGGGTCAAACAATGTAAAGTTTAAAGTTTGCATTACGGACGCGACTCTTATTGTTCGACGAGCACGAATTAATCCAAGTGTATTATTCGCACATCAAAAAGTTTTAGCTTTTACCACTGCTAAATATCCTATTACTCGAGCTGAAGTAAAAGTTTAACAATTCCATCGGGTGTTCAAGGAAAAACTCTTGATAATATATTTTTAGGACAGGTACCCAAAAGATGTATAATTGGATTTATGAACAATTCTGCATTTAATGGTTCCCTTACTAAAAATCCATTTAACTTTGAAAACTATGGTATTAATTCTTTCAGCTTATATATTGATGGTCAACAAATACCTTCAAAAGCTTTGCAACCATCTTTTAATAATAGTATATTTACATCAGCATATCATACTCTGTTCTTGGGAACTGGTATTCACTTTCTTAATGAAGGAAATGGAATATCTTGTGAACAGTATGCCAAAGGTTACTGTCTATTAGCATTTGACTTAACTGCTGAATTATAAGCCAACTCATCAGCTCATTGGAATCTCATAAAGCATGGTAGTGTAAGATTAGAAGTACGATTTGAATCCTCACTAATACAAGCAATTAACTGTATAGTTTATGCTGAGTTTGATAATATTATTGCGATAGATAAAAACAGAAATGTTACTGTAGACTATAGTAGTTAAGGTTATTATATGTGTTGTGTGTTAGATTTTATATGTTATGTGTAATGCATTTTGTGTGTATGTAGCTATGTGAAGCGTTATAAAATTAACTAAAACAAATTGTATGCAATATATTATATTTTATTTCTTTATAAATCTTCTATTTAATATAATACAAAACACTGTTCGAGTTTAAATTTTACATTAGCACACTGACTAAACCACAGAACATGCTGCTGCCAAGGATCATCATCATCTTCCCAATCATTTAAACCACCACCACAATGGAAACACTTGGTCCTGTCTGCATGGCCAGTATAAAAGAAACCGGCGTCTGCAAGATCTTCAGGTTTCTGTCGCATAACGAGAGGCCAGTTTTCGAAACTGAGCAACAGGCTAGATTTTGAACTGAAGAATGGATATTCAGCTCCAGAGTACTGCATATTCTTCTCGTTTTTTTCCACTCAGTGTTGTAGTTTTGTTATTCAATGATGTGTTCTGTACACGTGTGCCACACTCATCTCTTCCTTCCGCTCTTGTCTTCCTGTAATTTAAGTAAAGAGAATCACATTCACTAATGATCAGCTAATGACAGTCATTGTTAAAAAAGTATTTTTTAACTTTTTCACTTTCTGCTATTGTCTTTGTAATATTGTACACGAGGGCGTTTGTGTTGTCGTAGATGTTATCCTTATTAGTCTTTACGTAATATTTAATCCTCGTGGAAGCATGTTTCCAATGATCAGTAGTTGGAATCTTGGATAGCTTCTTCATATCGTACATTTCAATTTTAATGAGATGCGTCACTTGGTCTCCGTCGTCAGAATTAGTAGAAATGTATGATACACCATCTCTAGCGGCTCGTGCTACGGTTGATGATAACAGCTTCCTCTTTTTTATTTTTGACTAAGCTTCAAAAAATGATCAATCGATTGCGATTTTCTTTTTCCAACATCGCATGTGTTATTATGAATGACGATGTCATCACAAAAAAAAAAAAAAAAATAAAAAAATTACAAAAAAAATAGAAATAAAAAAAAAAAAAAAAAAAAATCTCTCCTTAAGAGGAGAGTGGCGTGTAGTAATTCTGTTTATAGCTATTTTCATCGAAGCTCAATGATTTCTGCAACAACACTGTTATCACTTTAATATCAATTTGTTAATAAAAGTTAAAAAGTTAAAGTTACAGTCAATTAAAGTCCACTGCTGAACATAGGCATCCTTTTATTTCTGAGAGGGCTGTAGGGCTAGGAAATGTCCGCCACGCTGCCTCAATGCGTGTTGGCGGACTTCACATGCCTTCGAAATTTTCTCAGACATGCAGGTTTCCTCACGATGTTTTCCTTCACCGCCGAGCACGTGGTAAATCAGCACCTAAAATTGTAATTAACAATTTAATTGGTGCCGGCGGGGATCGAACCCGGGTCCCGTACTGTGAAATTTACAGCTTGCGCTAACCATCTGAGCTACCACGGCTTAATCATATACACACACAATATTTAAATATAATTTTTTAACACTAAATCATACACACGTAAGAAAATAACAGAAAGAAAAGTAAGTTTGTCAATAGAATAAACACTTACATCCATGGCCTTTGGTGAGTTGAAGTAACACAAATGTAGTATTGATAGATCCACTACGGTCAAACGTCCATACACTAACTCCATGACTGCAGCTGCTCGTTTTTGGCTCATTGACAATTCACACCAATCACGAGTTAAAAAGATTTAGTCAATTGCTTGTGATTGGTTGTACTGGTATATTCAAAAACAAATGAATGAACCATCAATATTTTTAAGTGTATCAGCTCAAACCTTTGACTAGAGAAAAAAGAAAGGACATGACATAAATATCGTTAGTTGTAGGAATGTAACGAAATTTCGGCGTCTCTTTTTAGCTAATGAGTATATTCGTATGTAAAAAGGACAACATTACTTTTATCATTACCGAATACGACAACAATATTTTCGCTGCGGCCGGTCGCCATGTTTTGTCACAGTCAATGACAAGTATATCAGTTGTCATAGCGATTAGTTTGTTCTCAAATGTTTAAGAAAATTTAATGTTTTTATTCGTTTTATGCGAAAATTGTGCATTTCAAAACTAGTAGAGGACTACATTTATCATGGTCAGGTGCAGTGTAATAAGCTCCTGGATGAAAAACAAGAACACACATCAAATATTACTTTGCATAGGTAAGTAATTAATGATTTCTATATTTACGCGAACACACAAAAAAATTAGAATATACTTTTCCCCAAGAGAAAGAAAAATAAAATAGGAGAAAAAAAAGAAAAAAAAAAAACGGGATGGAAACTTAGTTCTATTCCATGACGATCTAATGTTAATATACGCGATAAAATCCATAAAAATTAATATTATTTAAATGTGTAGTGTTCGCATAAATATAAGAAATCATTATGATCTAATGTTTTTCTATCATTATTTAGTGATCGAAAATCAGTACGATTCGGCAATTTTCAATATATCGATAGATGAATAGTTCCTATATAAAGAGGATTCCTTTTTTGTGGTTTTAGATTACCAAAGTGTGAGAAACAAAAAGAAAAGTGGCTGAATATACTTGGTATAGAAAACCTCAACACCAAAACTAAACACATTTTTATTTGTTCGCTACATTTTGAAGAAAAATGTTTTAATCGAACTTTAAATGTTACAAGGCTGCGCGATGATGCTTTGCCTTCAAGCGAGTTGTTGGTAAGTGGTAAAATGCTTACGCAGTATGGATGCAGGTTAAAAACAAGCAAAAAAATATTACAAACATATATTTGTATTTTTATAGTTACCAGCTCAATTTGAAGATTGTAAGGAACAAGAATCTGTTTCTCGCAAGGTGTTGGTAGAGAAACCTAGCTACAGCACTTCTAACTATGCAGAGTTAAATTATGCTCATTTCCTAAGAGGGTGCTGTGCTGTGCTGTGGGTAATTAAAAAATCTTGACAACATTTTAATAAAAGATTATTAATATTTTATTTGACCTTTACAGTTATCAGCCCAATTTAATAAGTGTGAAGAACAAAAATCCGTTTCTCACATAGTACGAGAAGAGACGCCTGTCTGCAGCATTTCTAGCTATGTATATGTTAGTATGATATTTCATAATTTATGTTATTTTCTAGGTATCTGGACTTTGAAATATAAATTCGCTTAATATTAAAATATGTTATTGTTTTCTTTAACAATTACAAGCCCTATGTTACAGAAGTGAGAAGCAACAAACTGTTCCTCGCAAAGAATTTGGAGAGAAACCTGTCTGCAGCACTTCTAACTTTATTGAGGTGTGTTATTGTTTTTTTAACATATAATCTTAAAGAATTTTAACCAAACACATTAAATGTAGTTACATGAACTGCTTCTTGTAGAATATTCATCATGAGTTGGATCGATAGCCTATTTTTCTTTTTATTGAAACTTATAAAATTAACAGAAAAATACTTAGAACAATTTCTTTGGTTTTGTAAATGTATTTTTTTTGTTTCAGGATCAACAGTTTAAAATAATCCAAAATATTAAGATGATATGTGAAGATCAAAGGAAAAAAATTAAAAGATTAAATGAAAAAGTGAGGAGACAAAGTAAGAAAATAGCTGATTTTAAAATTTTAATGAAGGATATAAAGGACAAAATCTATGTTAATAATGATCATGATACTGTGTTGGAGCAGTGTGCAGGCCCCAAAGATTTTCTTAAGAGACAAATTTCTAAATCGGTAGGATTGCCTATGAAAAGGCCATACAGCGAAGTATCGTATCGTAAGAAGTTCGAAAATTCGCATTGACGTTTCACTTTCTGTCTCCAAAGGCCTATGATTTTGTTCGTCGTACCTACAATTCGTGTATACAGAATGTAAACGCTGAGCCTGGTTTTTGTACAGAAGCTTTTAATGCTTTGAAACTCAAAGCTCAAACAAGTGAGATGCCAGTGCTATGTTCTTTAGTGTTAGATTAAATGGCTATCAGAAAGTGTCTTTGCTGGGATCATCAAACTAAGACTTATTATGGAAGAGTTAACGTGGGCACTGACTGTGATATGGACTCACTAGAAGTAGCCAATGAGTGTCTTGTCTTACTCCTGACCTGTATAAACGGTAGTTGGAAGTTGCCTGCGGGATACTTTTCCATAACAGCTTTGCTGGGGAACAAAAAGCAGTACTAGTAAAAATATGCATCCACAAATGTGAACAAGTAGGTATCAAAGTTGTGAGCTTGACCTGTGATGGTTCAGCTGCAAATTTTGGCATGTTTTCAACATTAGGATGTGATTTGAATTCAAGTAAGACGACTTTTATTTACAGTAACAGCATCGTACACGCTTTTATTGATCCCTGCCATGCTATCAAACTAGACCGAAATGCTTTCGGAGAAATAAGAGTGTTTTGTGATATTTATAAGGAATTAATTAACCCTTTGAGGAGCTTCACGCTCACTCTTTTCCAATAATGAAGGTACGACTTGCCACGCAGCTTCTTAGTGACTCGGTGGCAGATGCCTTGGAGCACTGTAATAATTTAAAAATACCGATATTTCAAGGGTGTGAAGGCACAATTAACTTTATTAGGTTAATAAACAATGTTTTTGATGTGTTGAACAGCCGATCAATTAGACCACCGGGGTGGAAAAAGGCTATTTTCTCTCGAAACATTGTTTTGGTGGAAGCTTTATTCGAAGGCGCTATAAGCTACCTCAAAATCTGACGTTGCCATCTGGGCAGAAACTTGTAGATACTAGAAGAAAAACCGGCTTTGTAGGGCTTATTCTGGATATGATCAGTGCAATTCAACTCTATAAATATTTGATTGAGGGCACCAAACTTTTACAGTACTTGCCATTATACAAGGTCAGCCAGGACCACCTCTTTTTTTTTTTTTTTAGCTATTCGAGCACTAGGTGATTTCAATAGTAACCCAAACGCGGTTCAATTTAGGGCAGCTTTTAAAAGATTGTTGATAAGAGCTGAAATTAGGGATGCGGGCCTTGGTAACTGCGTACCCCTGGAACAAATTGATATACTAACATGCTCTTGTAAGACTAACGCAGTCACGGGCATAAACGATTTGACAGAAAGAAATTCATTTGTTGAATTGCCTGAGGATGATAGTGAGTTATACGAAGAATTTATTCATTGCATGTACAATAACCTACCCAACTATTCCGACAGCGTAGTTACTTATATTGCTGGTTTAGTATCAAGAAAATTGGCACGGTCTATAAAATGCGATATTAGCGCAAATTTGTTGTTTGGCGATCACGAAGACTATCAAAAAAGTTTAATAACTTTAAAGAACAGGAGTGGGCTGATTTACCCATCAACAGACGTGAAGCGCACTCTAATTAAAGTGAAAAAAATCTTAAAGGGTATTTTTCAGAAACAACTGCGGTCTGAGCAATATTACCTCCAAGTATTCAGATTTTTACTGGAACATTTTGATGAAGCGAATTTGTTTAAATCAAACTGCGAACATGATACGACACATAAACTTTTACTTATTAAATCCATAGTCCAAACCTATATGGATCTGAGGTTTAAATACTTTGGAAAGAAAATAACAGAAAAATTTCATTTCGAAATTATTTTAATAAAATTATATTATTTCGTAATGAGTACTGCGAGTAATTTATGTTTGTAATAAATATTTTTTAAATTCAAATTTCAGTTTTATTATGAAGTAGCGTCTGCCCGAGGTATCTTCTTATTCTATCTCTCGAGACCTCTAATCCCATATGTTAATTCAGGTAATAAATTATTTGTGTGCCAAATTATTACATTTAAACTGGTCTGATACTTTTGGCGTAATTGAGGAACAAACAAAAATTCAAACTTTAGCATTTATTATAGTTTGATTAGTATGAGTGTGAGGACGGAGCCTAATTTATTGTCTAACGAACAAACAAAAATTCTTTAATTAGTATTTCTTGTTTAGTAATTCCTGAGAAATAATTGTAACATTAATAATAGATAGTTACATTATAAAAGCAAAACAAAATGACTACTTAAAAGTAATGAACTGAAAACATAGGTATAACTTATATATATTTCAGTAATGTCCTTTTAATTTCCTTTATTTTGATATCCCTATCGATAGGTTGAGTAAAAAAAATTAAGGACTTACAATTTGTCATCCGTCATATCGATTTAAAAAAAACCTATCTAAGAACACTCGGGTGTTTGAGACGAATCACACGAAAGAATCTTTTTTCAAATACCATACCATACACCACATTATCGATATTAAGTATAGTGCGCAACACTACGTCAAGCCGCCATCTTTGTGCCACACTCAACTTAGGTATACACGTTTTTTTCGTAGGTATGTCATGTCCTTTCTTTTTTCTCTAGTCAAAGGCACAAACGAACGAATCATGCATGATTGACACATGTCTTACGGGACATTAGCAATAAAATTGTCGTCTGTATCTTTTGTCCTATAAGATATGTCTCCGATTTTTGTCATTTAGTCTTAGTGACTGACATTGTCAAAAGATCAAGGACGCATTCGTTTCATAAATTTAAAAAATAATTTTAAAGAATTGTATGTGTGAATTGTTGTGTGTGTATTGTCTAAAAAGTCCTTAATTTTTTTTATTTCTAGTAGATTATTCTAGAACACTTATTATTATTGTAATAGGCACCACCTGTTATCCAGTAACTATTTATTTACCAATATGTTAGTAACATGACGACGTAACTGAAACGGATTTTTATCTTATATTTGGTAGCGTCCGAATAGCTAAAATGTTTACCTAATAAATATTCAGCGTAGTATTGCTATGTTTCGCTAGAGGGCGCAACATACGTGCGAGCTCACAGTTTTTGTATGGAAATGTTTCTAATATCCGCTCTATAACATACATATTTAAATCTCATTGCCACGAATAAATTGCTTCCTCCACTACGATTAAATACACCATGTCATGTGAAATAACGTCACATATAACAAAATAGAGATGTAATTTTTTAGTTAATCAAAACATACGAGTGTACTTACTCTCATATATGGCACAGTAAGTATGAAGGGAAAGAAGATGACCAATTGTCATTAAAGCTCTGCGCATACCGCACACGCAACGTCTTTCATTAGTGTTTATCTTTTTGCCTTACTTGAAAATTAAATTGGACAAAATGAGACAAGTATAATGACTTAACTTATGTAGAATTGTTGGTTCTCTCGATGGTCGATGCATTCACATCATGTATGTAATTACTCATAGAATTCCTCTGAAAATATTTGTTTTAAAGTTTGAAATGTCGATCTGACGTTTTATTATATACGTCCAATAAATTGATGAAGTGTATATTTTTTTTATATAATACATATTTTGAAAGACGTAAATAAATTAATAACCCCTTTCTAGTTAGTCTGTTTGTAGGTGTACTAAAGGAATAAAATCATTTCGTCATGTTAGCTTCCAAAGTTTATACATTATGTCTTAGCACCAACCTCAGAAGCTAATAAGTGGAAATATTTTTATTCTTTTAATTCATTGAGATCGGTTTTTCGTAAATATCAGTTCAAGTGTAATAACTGGCTTTTAGTAGACCGCACGTATTGAGTAAATTTAAGTTTGAGATGGATTTGGGTATTCTATGGATTTCCATGTCTAATTTAAAAAAAATAGACTGAATCCATCGACATAAATGACAAGATAATATAGTCGTGTGAACAAAAATTTTCACGGCCTAAGCATAGAATAAATCAGCGCCATCTCTTAAATACTCATGAACTACCATTTAACTAGTGTTTCCACTTATGATTTTGGTTTTACCCTAGAACCTGTAGAAATACGCCCTGAATTATCGTTCGATATACAGAATGAAAACCTTTTTCATTCTACACTTTTCTAGCTCTTTTGTCCCTATCTCCTTCGATAAATCTTTAAAAAAATTTGCCATCGCATCTAGTGAGGTAAAACATCTTATAAAATTGTATATTTTTTTTTATT